TTGGATTGTACACTATGTTGTTAAATCCTTGGAAGATTTCATGTATCAGCCTAACCTTCTGTTTCTGAGTTTTGCTTGGAAGTGCATAAAATCAGAGTGAATATCATTAGTATAGTGCTATAGGTTGTCTATAAAGACAGATGTAATCCTTACAGTGAAGATAAGGTTTACTGCCTGAATTTCATTTGTCTTTTCGATATAATCTATTAAATTTTTATGTGAAGACTTTCTTAAGAGAACACTTCAGAAATGTCTTCACCCCCTCTTACACTCAGGGGAAAAGCGAACGTCATTTTGAGAAATCTGAATTTATGCAGCTGGGTTTTTGCTTTATAAAACAGATTCCTTCTGCTCACAGTTTGACAACTGGTGTTTTGATTGCTGTTCTGTAGGGTTTTGTAAATTTGTTCTGTTTGAACAAAGAATCATTTTAGAACTCTTCACCTTTTAAAAAACAACTTGCCAAAAATTGAAAAGAATATGTGACAATATAATTACATGTTTAAACGTGCTCATCAGGTCAGTGCAGGGAAAGTGGGTATGATGTTTTCTTTATTCTTACATTTTTTGTACAATGATTCACTATACTCTTTTTTGTGATAAAATATATATAGCATAACATTCACCATTTTAACCATTTTAAGTGTACGTTTCTGGTGCTAGCTACATTCATATTTTTGTGCTTCTTCAGTGTACTTTTTCCTGAAACTGTTATGTTAAAATAATTCAATAGTTTCATGATTGAGACCCAAAGCTGTGCCTGTATTGAGTAGCAACAGAGTTTTTTCTGGGGCTTATTAGTGTGTTGTGAAGAAAAAAGATTTTGTTTGCTGAGTTTTTGTTAAGAAACTTGCAGCAAATCCAGCTAAACTGGCCTTAGAAAGAGAAAAGCCAGTGGGAACTTAGGAAAACAAGCTTATTTGTTTTGGTTTATTTGAATGTTCCCCCTCCCCATTTTAGTTTAAAAAACATGTCTAGGGAACTGTAAAGCTTTCACTGTTGTATAGAAATATCATTTAATTATGATTGCTCTCCTGTTTCTAATAGTAGATAAGCAACAATGTAGAGAATAATGAAAATTTAAAAAATTAAAACAACACTTGTACATTTTACCATAGTATTTTGAAATTATTTCTAAGGTTAGAAGTTAACCTTTTCATCATGAGATTAGATAGAAATTATCTTTCTGATATGAATATATTAGAAACAGTGCTCATAGTCAAATCAGTGTCTTATATTGTTTTAATAAGAGTAAGACATTTGTGGACTATATTACTGTTTATGAGACTTATTGGTTCTGATGATTAAGCCCTTTATATCAAGCATTGATTAATTTAAGAAAACAATAGATCAGAAAGTAGTATATGGGAATGTTCAGAGACCATCTAAACAGAATTTGGTTTATTTGTTTTATTATTTAACCTCTTTAAAGGCGATGCCTTTTGTGAAATGATAATTTGGAAATAGAAAGGATTGAGCTCCATGCCTGACTAATTCTTGGGCCCACTAGAATATGAGGCTAGGCTTGAATTGGGCAGACAGAGGCATCACAATATACTGTTCATCCTAATAAATATACACTTTTTTGGTAAGCTACTCTAAGAGAAATTTTTCTGGGAATTGGTACTTTTGCCTTTTCCCTTCATTTTAGAGTGAGAAAGTTTAGCTTTGAGATAAACAAGAAGCTCTTGTACTTTATAAAAATCTCTTGGATAGACCTTATGGTCACTGGAGTCAGTTCAATCATCTGATAAACTAGTAGCTGACGAGAGCACACCTGAACTGGTAATGGACTTGGTTTCTCTAGGAAAGTGCACAAAATACCTGTCTGCTCAATATACAGATAACTGCAATGGACTTGTTCTCATTTCATCATCAAATATTTTTTGTATTTATCAACAAGGAAGATCTATAACCAATACACCAACTTTTTTTCAGTTGGAGATAGCCCCTGTCTGTTTACTGAACAGCTCTTCCTTCCCCACCAACAATCTGTCAACATCTTCTTGAAGGAAATAAAGATTTGGGGGTGTAGGGCTTGGCAAAGGTGCCATGTTGGTGAAGAAACTCAGGAGGAGATTTGGAGTCATCCATCCTTCCTGTCCATGCTAACAGTTTCCATTTCCCTCCTCCCAACTTTTCTGAGCTAATGCATAGTATGACCACTGAAAGAACCAGAGAAATATTGGAGTCCTGAAACTTTCCTAGCATATTTTGAATAGAAGTAATCTTGGCTCTAGTCAACAGCAGAAAAGCTAATTATTTGTTCACAATGTGCTATGATCAGTTTTTTGCTCTTTTGGGGTTTTGTAATAATTTTGGATTTTGTCCTTTGTGAGATGACAACCCAAGATCATATCTTTTCCACTGGTTCCAAGTTTTAAGGCATTTTGGGATATGTTTTATAATCATGAATTGCAAATCAAAGCAAAATATGTGTGATATAGGGCAGGTGGATTCTTTTGTAGGCTAGATATAAAACATTTATCTCTTGAAGGTTTAACTTACTAGTAGAGAAAGTGTCTTGATTTAAGGAGATTTAAGGAGATATCACCAGAAAGAAGAGAGGCTTATAAGAGAAATCTCTTCTGACAGCAGTAGTTTTATTCTCATAAACAAACAGAGGCTCAAGTCGAGTAAAACATTAGACTGTGAAGTTGGTGTAATAACACATAATAATGCATAGGGCACAGGAACTATACATGTGCACTTAGAGGAACATTAATTTCCCATTTGAAGTTTGTTAGGAACTATTAAAAGGTTTTATAACTCTGTTGACAATAATCTTATTTGGAACATGATCTGTTTATATAAAAATAATTTTTAATGTGAAAGCTCCCATTAGCTTAAATGACTAGTCAAATGGTAGCTTTAAAAGCTGAGTCACAGTCTAATTTACCCTCACAATTCACAGTTTTCCTCTTTATTTTACTTGCTAGATTAATCCCATCTCAGCAGTGCCGTTAGGTGCCTGCCTTGATGGTGTGGAAAAATACACATAAACATCTGATATTTCTGAGCATGTGATTTGTGACGAATTTAATGTGTTGCAACAGTGCATTTGTGTATAAACAGTTGTTTTTAACATAAGGATGAGGAATTTGACCACTATGGGATAATTAAAAATAACAACTCTCTGGAAAAGCAGGAGCAAAGTTCTTAAATGCCAGGGCACCAAGAGGCAAGATTCTGTACTCTAAATTGGGTAATTTATATCTTTGTCACTTGAAAATAGATATGTATTTGAGTTAATGAATCATCCACCAACATTCTACAACTACAGCAAGATTTGTTTCCTTTTCACAGGCAAGGTTTTAGTCAATTAACTAATAAATCATCATGTCTTTTCCCAATTCCTAGCATAGGGAGGCTCTTACAGGCAGGACCACAATTAAATGAGGCCTTAGAGAAGAGATTCTACCCTATTTTAAAAGGATTCTGGTGAAGGAGACAGCCTAGATGATTTTGGCTGTTTTTAAATACTTTGAATTTATCACTGAAAATTTGTCTTAGATGCTCAGAATTAATTAATTTCTTGATAACCTCCAATGTCTTGGATGGTGCCTAACTGATGGTCCTCCAATGACCAGATGTATGAGAAAATGTTTTTCTTCCTTCAAAAAGAATGACCTTATAAGCACCTACAGTTTACAAAGAATATATGTGCATTTTCTCCTTTGAGTCTCATAATAACACCCTATTATTTAAAAGGACTATTAATTCCTATTTAAAGGCAGAAATAAAGCTTCAGAGAGAGAAGCTAAGTGACTTACAAAGGTCATATATCTAGTGAGTGGAATAGTCACAACTGAGACTAGTTCTTTTTGCCCTAAGGGAAATACCTTTTGCACTCTACACTTTGCTGCCTCATTGATGTGCTTATAAAATTGGGCACTATAAACATGCATTAGGGTGCTTTTGGGAAATCTGTTCCTGGGAGAATTATCTGAATTGATGATGTGGTTGGGAGCATTATTAACTTGAGTTTATGGTCTGAACAGAGGAAAGTGTAAAGAAATACCCAATTTTAAGTGGCATTGGTCAGATGTTTAGTGTCAATGAATTGGGAGAGATAGAGTGGACAGTCTAGGACTAAGAGGAAATCCGTCATCTTATAATTATGAGTATTCAGAGGACTGGACCTAGAACTTAGGAAAGACAATAGAGAAGGCCTAGATACAATCAAGAAGGAAATAGCCACAAGAAATAATTAACCTGTATAAGATACACTCATCTGAATGAATGAATGGATACCCCGTGAGCATGTTGTTTAGGGAAGGGTAAAATGGGCTGAGGAGACTGGGATTCTGAGAGTAAGTTCCAAGGACTCTTACAGACATGAGTGAAAGGCAAGGTGCCTGTGTTCCCTGTGATATCTTATGGCAAAAGGCTTTGAAATTTAATTTCCAATGGAAGAACCTTAAAAGTTACTGGAGCTATCTATATATCTGCTTGGTTCTAAGCTGTGGCTACTGATAGCATTAGACCGAGATGTGGGGCAAATTCTCAGAATGTTCATTTAAATTGTTTACCTTGGTCTCAAAATTTGTTCAAGTGAGAGTCATTTGTGATGTAAAGTATGCTAAGGTTAAAATCTTTTATTTGAACTAGCTTTAAGTACAAAACTTAAACTGTTGCAAAGTGTAAATAAGGAAAACTTTTAAAAGAAATCCAGCTTTATTTCTAGCCAGGTTGTCAAAGTACCAACATGTAGAGTTTCTTACAAAATCTGCTTTAATGAGCCAATAAGACCGATTTATAGTTAACTTTGTAGGACTTGCTTTACTTCAAAGAACACACAGGCATTTGAAAAATAAGTATTTTTCTGAGCCTAATAGTATGAATTTTCTCAGCAGTTTCTCTTTTCTGAAACAGTGGAAAGGTAAGTTTTAGGCTAGTCACTGTCATATCTGAATGGAGTCTAAGAAGTTCATAGAGTGTTCCTGAATTTTCCTATTTCCTAAAGGAAATTGATTCATTATTTTCAAATTATCTTACAGGATCCTTCAAACCAAAAATGTGGCGGAAGAAAGAAAACCGTGTCTTTCAGCAGCATGCCATCGGAGAAGAAAATCAGCAGTGCGAGCGACTGCATCAGCTTCATGCAAGCTGGCTGCGAGCTGAAGAAAGTGCGGCCGAATTCTCGCATTTACAACCGGTTCTTCACTCTGGACACAGACCTCCAAGCTCTTCGCTGGGAACCTTCCAAGAAGGACCTGGAGAAAGCTAAGCTGGACATTTCTGCCATAAAAGAGATCCGCCTGGGGAAGAACACGGAAACATTTAGGAACAATGGCCTTGCTGACCAGATTTGTGAGGACTGTGCCTTTTCCATTCTCCATGGGGAAAACTACGAGTCTCTGGACCTAGTTGCTAACTCAGCAGACGTAGCGAACATCTGGGTGTCAGGGTTACGGTACCTGGTTTCTCGAAGTAAGCAACCCCTTGATTTCCTGGAGGGCAACCAGAACACACCAAGATTCATGTGGTTGAAAACAGTGTTTGAAGCGGCAGATGTTGATGGGAATGGGATTATGTTGGAAGACACAGCTGTAGAGTTAATAAAACAACTCAACCCTACCCTGAAGGAATCCAAGATCAGGTTAAAGTTTAAAGAGATCCAGAAGAGCAAAGAAAAGCTAACCACCCGAGTGACAGAAGAGGAATTTTGTGAAGCTTTTTGTGAACTTTGCACCCGGCCAGAAGTGTATTTCTTGCTTGTACAGATATCTAAAAACAAAGAATATTTGGATGCCAATGATCTGATGCTCTTTTTGGAAGCCGAGCAAGGAGTCACCCACATCACTGAGGATATGTGCTTAGACATTATAAGGAGATATGAACTTTCTGAAGAGGGACGTCAGAAAGGGTTTCTTGCAATTGATGGCTTTACCCAGTATTTGTTGTCACCAGAATGTGACATTTTTGACCCTGAGCAAAAAAAAGTTGCCCAAGATATGACCCAGCCGTTATCTCACTACTACATCAACGCCTCTCACAACACCTATCTCATCGAAGACCAGTTCAGGGGGCCGGTTGATATTAATGGGTATGTGAGAGCCCTGAAAATGGGCTGTCGAAGCATTGAACTCGATGTCAGCGATGGTGCCGACAATGAACCGGTCCTTTGCAATCGAAATAACATGACAACACACCTTTCCTTTCGAAGCGTCATAGAGGTGATCAACAAGTTTGCCTTCGTCGCCTCCGAATACCCGCTCATTCTGTGCCTGGGCAATCACTGCTCCCTCCCGCAGCAGAAGGTGATGGCGCAACACATGACAAAGGTCTTTGGCACCAAGCTCTATACCGAAGCGCCTTCGCCGTCAGAATCCTACCTCCCGTCCCCAGAAAAATTGAAAAGGATGATCATCGTGAAAGGAAAGAAGTTGCCCGCCGATTCAGATGTTTTAGAAGGAGAGGTGACAGATGAGGAGGAGGAGGCCGAGATGTCTCGAAGGATGTCAGTAGATTACAACGGGGAGCAGAAGCAAATCTGGCTTTGCAGAGAGCTCTCCGATTTGGTGTCTATTTGCAAGTCCGTTCAGTCCAGGGATTTCGAACTGTCTGTGAAAAGCCAGAACTACTGGGAAATGTGCTCATTTAGTGAATCCGAGGCCAGCCGAATTGCAAATGAATATCCAGAGGATTTTGTAAATTACAATAAGAAGGTCTTATCAAGAATCTATCCAAGTGCCATGAGGATTGACTCCAGCAACTTGAACCCACAGGACTTTTGGAACTGTGGCTGTCAGATCGTGGCCATGAATTTTCAGACTCCGGGTCCAATGATGGACCTCCACACAGGCTGGTTTCTTCAAAACGGGGGGTGCGGTTATGTGCTGAGGCCGTCTATCATGCGGGACGAAGTCTCCTACTTCAGTGCAAACACCAAGGGCATTGTACCTGGGGTGTCTCCTCTAGCTCTTCACATCAAGATCATCAGTGGCCAGAATTTCCCAAAGCCCAAGGGAGCTTGTGCCAAGGGGGATGTCATAGATCCATATGTTTGTATAGAGATTCATGGAATACCGGCGGACTGCTCGGAGCAAAGAACTAAAACTGTTCAGCAAAACAGCGATAATCCTATTTTTGATGAAACCTTTGAGTTTCAAGTGAACCTGCCTGAGCTGGCCATGATCCGCTTTGTCGCTCTGGATGACGACTACATCGGGGATGAGTTCATAGGGCAGTATACTATACCGTTCGAGTGTCTGCAGCCCGGCTACCGGCACGTCCCCCTGCGCTCTTTTGTGGGTGACATCATGGAGCATGTGACTCTGTTTGTCCACGTAGCCATAACGAATCGGAGCGGAGGAGGGAAGGCGCAGAAGCGCAGCCTTTCGGTGAGGATGGGGAAGAAGGTCCGAGAGTATACCATGCTCAGGAATATCGGTCTTAAAACCATCGATGACATCTTCAAAATAGCAGTTCATCCCTTGCGAGAAGCCATAGACATGAGAGAAAACATGCAGGTAGGAAAAAAATCCCATACTTTCCTCCCCACCCCTACTTATTTTGACCCCACACTTACCAGTGAACACTGTGACTTAGTGGTGATCTGAGTCCTCAGGTCATTATCACAAAGGTGGGATGTACGCGATGCCACTGAATTACGTTGTTTTGCCTGTGATAAAGCACATATATTTTATGTTTCTAATTGTGAATGCTATGTTCAATGTGGCCTGCAATAAACCAGTTAATGAAGTATCAGTGGAGCAAAATGCTGAATTTCTATTAAACATCCCTAGTACATAACCAAACTGATATATGGGAATGTTTATATGAAATGTGAAAAGAAGAGAATATAAGGTATTATGTGTGTGTGTAATAAAATATGTATACAAACACATGCATAATAATTACAACTATATATGTGTGTGTATATATATATATATAAAATATTTGCCGATATAAACGTGGAAGGGAATTTGAAGTCATATAAAGCAAATGTAATGCCTATTAGATTTTTTTGTTTGCTTAAATGTACAACAATAATAAATTACTCCCCACAAGAGCAAACAAAGCTAAACAAACAAAACTGAACTTGTTGAAAACTTTAATCTTCTCTTAGAAATGTGGTTTAATAGGTTAATGGAAAGAATATAGATTCTGGATTAAACTCTACCCCCTTATGATCTTGAGCAAATTATTTCAGGTTTCTTATCATCGCTTTTCTTCACATAAGGTAGGAAAAATGGTAATACTTACATCACAGGATTGTTATGAGAATTAAATGAGAGTGTATGTAGATTGCCCCATCTTGGCTTGTAGAAATTCAGTGTTAGTTTCCTTCCTTTCTTTAATGCTTGTAACCAGAGAAGGCTGCAGACTTCTTTCTTCAATGTTATTTAATATGCTTATTCTAGGCTCATGTAACTGTGAAGCAATCAGCCAACAAGCACTTCCTAAGTTCCTACTGTGTGCAGGGAGTTGGTTTGCAGAAGCGGCAGTGTCTGTGTCTGAGGGCAAAACAGGAGAGGAATGTTTTTCAATGCACTTTATTTACTCCTTTAACTAACATTTTAATAGTAACCCTCACCAAAAAATCCCTACTTTCAAGATAGAAAACAAGCTTGAAGAGGTTAAGGATTTTACCAAATATTGTAGTGAATACATAGCAGTGTTGGGCTTTAAATCAGAATCGCCTACTGTGAAAATCCATGATAATTCATGATTTTTAGTCACGTGATGCCGAACCCCACACCCATCAGGTGGTGAAAACTTCAGTTTTACATTATTTCACAGAGAAATTCTGGGGTAGGCTTAAGACAGTTTTAAATAGCCAAAATGCCAAAAAAATAATATGCTGTGTAAATCACATATAAATACTTAGGTTGTAAGGATTATTTAAAAATGGGCTCCAAATAGCAGCATCTTCTACTGACTTTTTCTGACATAATTTTATAACTAATATAAACCCCTATATTGCATTAGTTATGTCAGTTTTATACCTAACTTTATATGTTAGAAGTAGATTTTATAGATTCTTATATATTCTTGAAATATATCCTTTGCATACATTATGTATTTAAAATACATATTAAGAAGAGTTGGCTATGGATAAAGTTTTTCCAGGGAGTACTGATAATTTATATCACTCAACATAAAGTCTTTGGGATTAAGGATTACTTGGAGCCTAATCAGTAGAGAAATGAATGCCATTATTGTCACTAAATCCATGAGGCACATATTAGGTTAGATACTGTTCACCGTTACTAAAATGGAATAGTCATAATTCTTATTTCAAATGATTTTTTAAAGCCTGTAACATGGACCAGTGCAGCTCTACATGAACTGCATGCTAGTATGTGTGCCTGTCAGGTGCATTTCTGGTGGGATGACAAGGAATACCTTTGATGGCTAGTCATAGGGGGGTGGTGAGTAATCCCAGCCTGCTACCTTGAGGGGAGAAGCTCAAAGGCGATGCACTGCAGTGTGCGACCACTGACGTGTCTTAATGATCATCACGATGCAAATCAAGTCAGATATTCATGACCAGCCAGTGCTAATTTGTGTGAATATTTCAGTGCTCTGCATTGAAAAGCACTGTGTAGCCTTGGGGCATAATCTGCTTTGCTTTGTGCCATATTTGAGGCAGTTGCTAGAAATTGAGGAAGATGAAGTATAATAGTGAATCAGCTCTGTTTTACCTCTGTGCATATCACAACATTTTGGGTTGGTTATAATCCAGTTTGCCTCAAATTGTGTACGTATTTAAGGGTATACTTGTAATGAATATGCTTTTGTGTAAACCCAGAAGTGCTGGGGTGATGTGTCATGTGGTCCGAAGTGTAATTCCATGTTTTCTTCCCCACAGAATGCCATAGTGTCTATTAAGGAACTGTGTGGACTTCCTCCAATTGCCAGTCTGAAGCAGTGCCTGTTGACTCTGTCCTCTCGCCTCATCACCAGTGACAATACTCCCTCAGTCTTTCTTGTGATGAAAGACAACTTTCCTTATCTGGAGCCTCTGGGGGCAATTCCAGATGTGCAGAAAAAGATGTTGGCTGCTTATGATCTGGTAGGAAATTACGACTCTGTATTTCTTATCTGTGCGTGTGGGAAATCATATGGGAGAGGCTCTTTTGTGGAACTCTAATGAGTAACACAGAGTAATTGTCTTTGAAACTCGAATTGGGGATGGCAGGCAGAGCCATCCCGCTCAGCTTTCCCCAAGCCCCAGTGGAGACCTCTGAGGCTATGCTTTGAACCCAGAGCTCCACAGATTGCAAATGGAAAATCTCTGCTTTAGCAAAGAATGAATTATTGATTAAGTCCTCAAAAGCATACACATCTCATCATCTAAATGACTTTAGCCTATAATAAAACCATTTAATTGCATACCCATAGGAAGTGAACTTAAGCCTGTGTGCTGCCTTCTGATGGTTGAGACAAACATTTTTTAGGAATTTATATTTTTAAGCTAACACTATTCTCTAATTTTTCTGAATATATAATGGATTTATGTAGCAGTTAAATTTAAGAATAACTATGTTTTTGCATTTTCTTATTCCATAAAAAATTAAGAAGCAAATAAAAAACTGGGAAAATTTGTAATGTGTAAGCCAGATAAAAGTAAATATCCTTAAAATAGAAAGAGTACTTAAAAATTGATAAGAAAAAAATATGGGGGAAAAAAATCTTACGTTAGTCAGGATCAAGTTCAGCTTCATGAAACTAAAATGCAAGCCAATTATGGCTTAAAAATACAAAGTTTGATTCTCTCACAGTTCTTAGGAACCTAAGCTTCCTCTAGCTTTCTGCTGCACCATCCTTACACTATCCTCGTGGTCCCAAATGGCTGCTGATGCTCCAACCATAATATCTACATTTCAACCACCAGGGATGATAAAGAGGAAATACAGGGAATATCCTTTCCCTTTAAGGATATGTCTCTGAGGGAGCATAGATAATTTCCGCTCGTATTTCAGCCTGCAGCGGACACATAGACACACTTCAGTTGGAAGGAGGATGAGAAGTGTCCTTATTTCCAGATGTTCAACTGAAAGACATCTCTTCTGTCACTAAGAGTAAAGGAATAATGGGTATTAGGGGATAACCAGCACTCTTTGTTTCAGAGGTGAACAGGCAATTCATGTGTTTCCACCCCCTAAAATATAATGGAGATGCAAAACCATATTTAACCTTAAAGTAAGTTTTTGATTAAAGACATTAAAGAAATGCAGTAAGATACTTCCTCTCTCCATTAAATTGGCATTTAAAAAAAATTTTTTTAGAAAACAGTGCCTCTGAAAAAGAATTTAAGGAAATAGGTGCTACCATCTCTCTACCTCTAGTGGGAAAATAAATTGATATAATTTAGGGGAAGAAAAATTTGGGAATAGAATTTAAAATGTTGATCTCATTTGAGCTATAAAAATATTTCCTTTCCAGGGAATTACTCTAAGCCAGCAGATTTGTACATAAACATTTATGTTTAAAAATTTCAACATAGAGGGATTGGTTAAATAAAATATAGTAAACCATATTATGGATTCCTTTGAAACCATTACAGTCATGCACTGGAAGAATATATAATAATGCAGAGAATTTTTTATACTATGTTTTGTAAAAACTCTGGTTCCAAAAATATACTCTATTGTATTTAAACTGTATTTATATTTATACACATCTAAAATGCTAGAAGAATATTATTAGTGATTGTTTTTAAATGAGGAGGGTGAATTTTATTTTCTTGTGTGTGCTTTTTAATATATATTTTTTGTATTTACCAAACTCTTTTTACAATGAACCTGAGTAGCTTTCATAGTTGAATAAAAATAAATGTTAAAGAAGAAAATAATAGTATTTTATCATTAAAAAACAAGTAGAAGAAAGACATTTGGGATAAACATCTTACAACTGAAAAAGAAAAATACCCCACAGAGTGTATACTGGTTATGAATGATGGTCCCTCTGATAATCTGTACTTCATGGTTGCTGGGGTAAAAGTTCACTTATGGCCTATATCTCATTTTTCATGAAATCAATTTTTCATAAAAATAGGGACTGAAAGCTATTCAGTGAATAGGTATAATTACCATCTAAGGGGTGAAATTAGGGTACTGGTTGCCATAGAGACAGACAGTAGAAATCACTTATTCTTCCAATTCCCTTTTAAGCGAAGAAAAAAAATTATTACTGAGGGAGCCTGGTCCCCTGGAGCTGGGCCTGTAATGAACAGAAAAGCACCTGGACTGTGGTTGGCCAATGTCCATTTCACATCCCTGAGTGTCCAATGATGTTTGGTTTTTCAGTTTTATCTGCTGGAGCCAAATCTGAACATCAGCCATTTCTCATTTCTATTTTTGAAATGCAATTTCTAATTGCAGGCATAGTATGGTTTTCCAAAACTTAAAGTAAAAAACCACAGTGGAAAGCAGAAATACTTGTAATGATGCCTTCATTTATAGTTCCCTATGGAATGATTTTTTAATTTGCTAGGGATTTGAATGGAAATATCCTTGTACCAAATGGTAACCTTGGCAGACTGTGGATGTGATTGAAAACACTATTGACTTCTCTGTTGGCTATTTTTTAGGGAGTGGGGTGGGTAGGGACAGATACATGTCATGCCGACCTTGGCCCTGAATGCCATTTTTACTTTCTAGGGTTTGCCTTGTATTGGTTGGCATCTTTAATACTCTTAGTGTATGAATGTTAGTACTGTATTTATTTTAAGGATGCCTCCTAAGATACTCCCAGAGATCCAGACAGATCATTTAAAAACATAAATCAGACCATGTCACTTCCCTGCTTTATAATCCTCTAGCAGTTTCCCATTACAATAGACTGGAAACTCGTTCCTGTGGCCCGTGGGGCCATCTGAGCTCTGGCCCTACCTGCCTATCTCACCTTCCTCTCCCAGCCTCACCCCCACACTTCCTCTTGTGCTCACTCCATGAGTCAAATGGCCTCCCTCCCTC